AGATATACCACATTATGTACTGTTGTGCTGACATACTTGGGGATTTTTTTTTTTAGCAAGACCATTTTTCACTATGAATTTGTGCTATGTGTCAGCACCTTTTTTTTTTTTTTTTTTCCTTTTGGTTTAAAAACAAAACATACAACCGTGTTTCTGATCTTGACCCTCATTTTTAGATTTGGTTTAGAATCATTTTTGTATCTTTAATGAGGCTGTTCTTACTTCCTATTTCCAGAACTCACACCAAATATAGACATAGTATTCAAAACTGTTTAAGCTTTTTTAACTGATGGGCTATTCTTTTAGGGGGGTTTTCCCCTTGTCCTCCTGAAATAATTTTCTATGAATATTTGAATTCAGAAAGGTCCATTTAAACATTTATATTTTAGAAGTGGTAGCCTGTGCTGAAATGGCTCGCGTTCTAGAAGTGCTGTGGCTCCGAGTCTGACCCCCCAAAGCCATGTGGTGATAAACTTCGGGTGGACGATGGGGACTCGCTCAGTGTCCACTTTGATTCAAGTCCATTATTAACTCAAGCCATCTGCAAAAAGTATCTTGCCCATAACGTGCAATTCTCTCTTCTTCCTACCGCCTTTTATTTGGGAGACATGTTCGGAGGCATTACCACATTTCCTTTAATACAAAGATAATTAAGGAGGAAACCTTCTAAAAACATCTCCATTCGCTCCACCCCTTTTCTAAAAAATGAGGTGCATTACTGGCTGAAGTCTTGGTCCACAGCAGTGCTAGTCATCTCATTGCAGATAATCCTTATGATTATAATCGAATGAGGCCTTTTGTGGGGCTGGGGGGTGAGGAAGGGGAGAGATAGCTAGTAATTAAAATGATCTTACTGGCATCTGGGCTGAGAATGCTCACAGAACATTTAGACCTGAATGCTGTTTCTGGTTAAAACCCACTACTGTGTGTGTGTGTCTGTGTGTGTGTGTGTACACATACTCCCTAAAGGAGGAATTGCTTTAAACAACAAACAGAGAACTTACATTCTCCTTGCTATCAGATTTTTACTTCTCCTCCACCCCCACCCCATCGTACGTTGTGAAATCTTCATTTTGTCTAGTAGCCACTGACCCCCGTGTTCTGTGACTGGAGCCACTGACAGAGAGGGATCTGCTCCTGTGCCAGAGGGGTCGGCTCCGCACATAACCCGTGACATGGAAGAGCTTCTAGGGTCAAGCAGCGTGGAGGCCAGCATGGCCTGGCTGATAGGTTTATGGAAGGTGCACAGCAGCCTGTCCCCAGCAGAAATTCTTTAGGACCCTGGTCAGTTCCAGGGACGGTTCCTTCCTGAGCTAGGTGAACACGTTCTTAATCTTCTTAGCACTACGAGATCCAGGGCACACGCCAGGCTCCTCTGTGTCCTAGGCTTGCTCCAAGGATGGAATGTTGTTGGCTAAGCTTCACATTGGGCCGCATCTTTCCAGGGCGGGAGGCAGACTGTGACCTGGTCTTCCACTTTCCATTGAAGCTCCACTCAGTTCCTATTCCCCTTCCTAGTTACCTGGCTGAGTACTGTGATCTTAAGAGTTGCAGCGGTTCTGTTCTCTTTGAATAATGTCTCAGACATGGATTTGAGATGAAAGTTTTTATTTATTGTGTGTTAGAGTACTGGACTGAGCATGAATATATAGATGGCATGTTAGCTACATAATTCCTTCCCACCTAGAAGTTCTGTGATCTTATGCCTCTATTTATCTACATACATGAGTTTATTTGTACCCTATAGTTTTGTGTATTATAGGAAATTAAGATATTAAGACTGTTGAAAAGATAATCTAATATTGAGATTCTTTTATTTTTGGCGGTCTTAGGGGTCTCCATAGATCTCTCTTCCCCCACACACCTTCCTCTGTCTAGGTGTTCTCCTGTCTTGCCTGCTGTCTGGCATTTGTAAGGTTACAGATGGGAAGAGTTACCTCCAATAGTGCCTTATAGCCTCCCCAGCGATTTGCCCATGTTGCTCAAATAGGGATTGGGTGACATATCTTCCTTAAATTTCTACGTGGCCTTTGTACACAGGAACATGTTGTGTGTTTTCTTAGTGTAAGATTGGTATCTGAAAACCAAGAGGCCCCGGGGCTTAAAAAGAATGGCAATTCAGAAGAAACACTCTGACCTCAATGCAGTGCTCCTTGTTGGTGATCAAGCTCTGACTCCTAAGACACTGTCTGCAAGAGACTATAATTTAAAACAAAGTTGATGAACCAGTTGAGTACCTTTCTTAAAATTACTGCTTTAAAGTGGATATGTTGAAAATATCAACTGCTAATTATTGGCTCACCAACAAATGACATTATTTGTTTTTCCTGTTTGTCATTTTAATGTTATGGGGCAGTCACTCAAACATGAATGCCAAGTGGTATGCGTGTCATAGCAGTCAATTCCATGAATTTTTCCAATTAATTAGGCTCAATAATGTATTATAAACAATGAGCCTCTGAATAAGTAAGTCCGCTTAAGCTTTAGTATATGTTTTACCTCAAGACTATTCTGAGGTATTCCTGTCTCCAGTAGTTATACTGCCAACAAATACCCATAATGACAAACTGTTACTGAAAGGGCAGATAGATGTAAATGAAGGCAGAGGAAGAGTGATGAAATGAACATCTGCTTTTTTCACCTGTCTGCCAGAAATTCATAAATGACCAAAAATAACATTCTAGCTGACCAACCTTGTTTCAATTTGTGTTAAGGGTAGAAAATTTTTTTTCTGTCTTTCCAGTCTTTGTATGTTCCATTGGCTTATATATTGAACAGTAAATATATATATGTGTGTGTGTGTGTGTGTGTGTATATATATATATATATATATATATATATATATATTAAAAGTAATAAATAAATAAAATTCAAAGAAATTTAAAAATTATTGGCTGATAAGAAATATATATTAAAAGAGTGGTCTCTCTACCTTATAAGTAGAGAGTGTGCCTACTCTATATGCATTTAAACAGAGGTTTGAACTTTCAATGCAATTTAATGAAGTGTCAGTGCATGTCATAACTAAAATTTTAGATTCCTTTATGAACATTATTGACATATTTTGGCCTCCATTTCAGTTAAACAATTAAGCAGGAACCACCAGGGATAATAAAACTAGAAAGAAATATTGTCTTTTACCTCCCCTCTTGGTCCATATGGTATTTAGTAACTAACTTGTAGGCTCTTTTGGATGGGAAGAAAATAAAAATGGGAAAGTGAGTGTATAAAAACCAAAACAAAACTGTAATTGCAAAACAGTTGTGAAGGACTGCTTACAGAGGAGTTTTTTCAATAGTGATGAATTGCTTCCTGATTTGTGGTTGGTGACTTTTTTTTTCTCACCCCCCCCCCCAAGAAATTTACGATCAATGAGGAACTGCATAGTTAACATGTTTCTTTAGTAAGACCCTAAAAAGTCAGAATGTGTGATACATCCAGTCTGAGAAGGTCACTTCCTCTGATCTTAGAACCCGAGGCTCTCAGAACCCACAACTCTCCTCAGTATAAATTTCATTTTAAAGGAGGACTTTGACCACTGTTGAGTAGATGATGCTAGAGAAGAACAAAAATTACTTTGAGAGATCTTTTTTATAAAGAGAACTTACAAGCTATGAAGGAGAAAAAAAGCAACACCTTCATCTAGGTTGAAGAAAAAGAAAAAAGAAAAAAAAAAAGCATGTATTTGGTTTCTGGTTCCTCGGGCCTTTGTGGAAGGACCAAAGAGCATTATTTTGGTTTCTGAGGTTAAAACTACTTTATTTCCCTCAAGCACACTGTGTTTATGGTTGAGGGAGAGGAGAAATAGGAAACTAGGAGCAGGCTGAATTGGTCTAACCTTGACCATCTAATTCTGCATTGTCTGATTCCTGTTCTAAAGCAGAATGGATACCTCTCTGTTCTTCTAATATAAAAAGTAATCATAAAAATAAAAGACCCTCAGTCACTGGAGAGTAATCCTTTAGACTATGTTAATGCTTGGTTAAATATTGGTTTATGATTTGGGAGTTTAAAAGTGGTCTTCCCCTAAGGTGAAGCACAATGTTAATTATGTAGGCGCCATATCATAATTTTGTCATTTTTGGTTGCCTTACCACTTGGCAACTCATTAAAATAAAAACATTGATTAATATGTTGCAGTCAAAGTAATTGTTCCATATGCTTTACCTCCTTTAGGTTATTGGAGTCATAAGTAAAGAATATATACCAAAGGGAACACGATTTGGACCTCTAATAGGTGAAGTCTACACCAGTGATACTGTTCCCAAGAATGCCAACAGGAAATATTTTTGGAGGGTGAGTATGGGAAAATTTTTCCAGATTCATTAAGAAAAAAAAAGTAGAGCTAGAATTGCTGGGTCACTTCCTTTTTCAACTTGTACTGGGCCTCACCACCCACAGGTATTCAGGTCCCCAGGGACATAGAGAATGCTAAGCAAGAGTGATGAAACTGGCTAAACGTTTGGCCCTAAAAACCAACAGTTATAGGTGGTTAGGATGGAGATATATGGACTATATGTGGATCTTAACTTTTGCAATTCATTGAGCTATGTGAAGAAAGGAAACAGTTTACTTCTTGCTTCAAGGGTAGGCTCATTTGCATTTCTCTGCAAGGAAGTAGTAATGAGTCACCAAGTCTTAGATTTCACCTCTTCTTGATTTCTTGCTGAGTTAACTTTAATTGAGTGGAAGAATAATTATAAATGAATAATCTTGAAAAAAAATGCCATTCAGGAAGGCTAGGTAGAAGATAGCACTAGGGAAATGCAGATGGACCTCAGAACTAGTCCTGTTTAAATTTATTGCCACCAGCCCGGCTGTCATGGCTCAGTGGTTGAGCATCATCCTATGAACCAGGAGGTCATGGTTCGATTCCCGGTCAGGGCACATGACCAGATTGTGGGCTTGATCCCCAGTGGGGAGTGTGCTGGATGCAGCCAATCAATGTTTCTCTCTAATCATTGGTGTTTCTATCTCCCTCTCCCTCTCCCTTCCTCTCTCTGAAATTAATAAAAACACATTAAATTCATCTGCACTACAAAATTGATTTGCCAGTATGTAGATTATATCCATAGCTTTGGGGAAATGCTTACAATCATGCAAGATAATAAACTTCCTATAACATCCAGTCTGAAACTCTAGCCAATACAATTTCCTTTGGAATATCAGGTTTAGAAAGGACCTCAGAGGTGAACTGATTAGATGAAATCCTTGAGTAAAAGACTCGAGTGAACAGAGGAAAAATTGAGCTGCTTTTCATCTTCCCATAGCTCTCTGCAGGATATTTCATTTCCTCAGTTAGAAAATAAAGATATTCGTACAAAATTTAAAAGTAAATTTTTATACATACTTCCATAAAAAGCACACAATTGGGGAATCATTATTTGAATTATTTTCAGAAACAGCTGCATGATAACAACAAAAATGGGATTACACTTAGTTTGGCCAGTATTTACCTAGAACATTTCTACCTGTTAGACAGGTATCTTGACAAAATACATATTTGGGGATCATTCAGAAGCTGTTCCTAAAAAACAATTTTTTTTCAAAAGCCAGGAAGTTTTGTGTTTTTAGAAATGTAGTATTCTATTTTTCAAGCAAATGAGAACTCTGAGAGTTGTGTGCTCACAACTTTTCTTACGCTTAAAATACATGAGTTGTAATAGGCAAAATGTTAGTGCATTTTTGCATTTATTGCCAATAAAATCTTTTCGGAAGTGAAACAGAGGTGTGTGATTCTCATTTGTAGGTCTGACTTAAGAGAATCCAGCATAAGTGTCATTAATGCCTGGTCATTTTGACAAAGAGAAGAAACACCTAAGAACCCTCCTATCCTTCTCCCAGTTCCCTCATTCATTCACGATTCACTATAAGTAACTAAAATGCTGTTCTTGGGAGGATTTATTTGAATCAGTCTTTCACACACAAAGGATGTTGTAGGAGATAACTCCCCACGTGTTGTTAAAAGCATCCTGATGTTGCTGGCAGGAATATGGACATCTGTTTGAGAAAAGAAAAAAGTTTCATGCAAATTACACAGTCAAAGAGAAGAGAAGGGATGTTCAAGTTGAGAAACCAGTGACATTTCTTGTAACTGTACTATGAGTCAGCACTTTTTAATCTTCTTGATAATACATGGAAATGTAGTGAGGTGACAGGGAGCAGCGTTCATTTGACGTATGCATATTTTCTCGCGTGTGTGCTTGTGTGTGACTTCATGGCACCAATAATTCTTTTTAAAATGAGGATACAGTAAATTGTAGTCCGTGGAAGGCTGACTGGAACCAACATACCCGTAGCTTTAGAAAGCAGTTTCCGCCCAACCAAGAGTGCAAGAGCGATGGAACCCCATGTTCCTGGAAGTTTGCACATCAGAGTAAACAAACTTGAAAACCCCTCTTGATAGCAGAATTCACCCAGCCTTGTTCCATTTTCTCTTAACAAAACACACCGCAAACGCTCTCACAAGCTGCTTTGATGAAGCCACATGTATTTCCCCCTTCACAATTTACAGGAAGTTACTCTTAAAAGAAAGTGATTCTGGTGTTTACTGCCCGTGTTAAAGGGACAGAGTTCCTTTTTATCTCTGATAACGTTTGAGCGAAATACAGAATCAATTTATAGACTCCCATAGTATGTGACTAAGAGCAAAGGAGTAACCTGACGAGCCTTGCCCCACTGCTTGGAGACTAGAGGTTGCAGATGAGCAGGTATTGATGATTGTAGATGCGTAAGGAAATGTCTTAGGTCTGAAGAAGAGGTGTGATACATGTTAAAAAGAGAGAGAGAGAAAAAAATAATTTCTGTGGAAGGGTAAGCCGTTTCATGATGGAGCAGTTTCAGGAAGAACATATATTTTGATTTCTTTTTTTTCCTGTTCTTACCTCTGCCTTTTCCCCATCCCGAGTGGCCTGTGTGCGTCTGTTAAACAGAAGTTACCACAAGGCAAACTTGGAAATCTTCTTTATGCACGGCCCTTAAAGAACGACATGGTGTCTTCCTGTTCTTTTCCCCAAAACACATGCCGGTGGCCCTGTGAGTGGCGTTCCAGCCAGCCTCCTCCCAGATAAGAGGGTTCCCTCTCCCCTCCTTTGGCAAGGCTGGGCATGTTTATCAAGAGGAAAAGTGACTCCGTGGTGTAGACTGTCAGATGCTGGCTCCCGGCCCAGCCTTCACTTTGTTATGCCAGGTGAAGTTCACCTCTGCCCCACCCAGTGCTTCCACAAAAAAAAAAGGCAAGGTTCCAAGTATTTATATGAACAAGTGTTACTTCTGGACTCCGAGGCTTGGGGGTGGAGGATGTTTGCATAGTTTAAGCCTTGGGCGGGGGTGTAGGAAATGGCAAGTACAGAGGCCATAGAAAAAGTGGAGAGACTCGGTTTGACGTAGCCCGTCGGCTTGTCTTCTGCGCAGTGACTCAAAGCATTAAAAGTCAGCATCATCGGAATTCAAGTTGGTAGCGTCACCCACTTGCCACTCGCCGCCGTGGCAAAAAGTAGGACTCGGCTGTTTTCATTCATCCGAGGCGAGGCAGCTCCTCAAATGAAGTGTTGTGTTTCACCCTTTTGTTATTCACACACACACACACACACACACACGTGAAAAGGCGGTAAAACCGAGATGGAAAAGGTAACTGACAGTGTGCCTTACCTGTTTCTGCCCTTGTTTCTGCTGATTCAAGGCGATTCGGGCCGAACTGATTTGATTCTTTCTCTAGCTAGGTGATAGGGGACCAGAAGCCACACATGTGCTTTGCTGTGTTGATTCTTAAGAGGTGCCTGGGGGCTTGACCCTCTTCAACCCGTCTGTCTTCTCTTCCGGACAGATCTACTCCAGAGGGGAGCTTCACCACTTCATCGATGGCTTTAAGGAGGAGAACAGCAACTGGATGCGCTACGTGAACCCGGCACACTCCGCCGGGGAGCAGAACCTGGCTGCCTGCCAGAACGGGATGAACATCTACTTCTACACCATTAAGCCCATTCCTGCCAACCAGGAGCTGCTTGTGTGGTATTGCCGGGACTTTGCAGAGAGGCTGCACTACCCTTATCCTGGAGAGCTGACAGTGATGAATCTCAGTAAGTGGATTACAGAACAAAAAAAAATGTTAAATGCCAGTCATGTCAGTTCTGCCCCTCTGAGCTAATAACATGTTGTTTAATTATATGGCTTCATCTGTTGGGCCAAGTAGGTGGCTTAAACCAGGCCCTCAGAAGGAGGGGAGGGGTGAATTTTAGTGCCTATTTCCTATTAGAAGACTTGACCATTTGAAAAAATATGAAGAGCTACTTTGAGTGTTTAATTCAGAAAGTCACCAGAAGAAATATATGTCCGATTCTAATATCTCCAAAAGGGGGCGGGGAGGGGTAAGGTAGAGATTGGTTCTGACAGGCTGACTTGGCAGGGAAAAGCCCCCCCCCCCCCTTGTTTGTGGTAATTTGTCGGTGCTTAAAATATTCATTGAAATCTTGTAGAGATGCCCATTTGGTTATTAAGTTATGGTCTGATGTGGAACATAGATTGATTCTAGAAAAACTGGCAGCTGTAACTTTTTAAATGTTATTCTAAATGAAGAACAAGATTTTATATTTCAGCTTCCTTTTATTTGATCAATTCATCAGTTTTAAAGTAGCCACTTATCACTTTATTGTAACCAATTCTCAATTCCTTAAATTTATAAGCCTCTACTTTTTTATTTGGTGGAAGTTGTTGTCTATTTCATTTTAGTCCTTCTCAGGTGACCTCTATGAATGATTTAAGAATTATCATAACATTCCAACCTGTTGTAACTATGCTTGTGTGTTCTCAGTTATACTGCTGTGTAATCAGTTTCTTAAATTAAGTTTAGATTTTTAAAGTAAAATTGTAAACCTTTTTGTTTAAAAGTTTCAGCATCTAAATGCTGATATATTTGTAACTTGTGGTTTTGGCATCATTTCAAACTTAGGGGGGAGTTGCAAGAATAATACAAAGAATTCCCAGATACACTTTACCCAGAACCTATCATTGATATGGTTTCGCTTTTGCTTTATTTAAAGGCTAAATTGTTTTAGTTTACACTTTCATCTTTGAGACTTTTGGAAGAATAATGTAGGCATACATTAGAGTTTTTTACTTCAGCTCTAGGACCAACTTATCCTAGATAAGTTTGTATAATCCCAACTCTGTAGCTATTTAGTGCTTATCCACAGTGTCTACTTCATCTCTTTATGATCTCAAGACTATTTATAGTTTTCTGCACTATATAAAAGATTATGGATCTCCTCCTCATAGGCTTGTGTCTGTGGCCCATTGATACGCACATGCCCACGTGCACACACACAGTGCACCTTGAGCTTCATAATAATAAATTTATAATAAACAAACTAGCTTCCAACATGAGCATGATGGGTATAATCAGGTCCTAGGCAAAGGTGGTCATTCTTTTCCCTCATTTCCCTTCACTGCTACCAAGAATTGCTGTCATGTCTCAGAGCCAAGCATCTAAGAAGCTACTGAGCTTTTTCACCATCTATATATGCCAGGCCTAGTACCCAGAGCCTGGTGGTAAAAGACAACTTAAATTCTGGCAGGGCATCTCATGGGAAGATAGGCAGGCTCCTCCTAACTTTCTCAGCATAGCAAGTCACTTCCTTTGGGGGGGTCTTCTTACAGTCCTTGGGCTTAATTATTCATGGGTTCAGAGAAATATCTTGATTTCATCTTTTTAAACAGTGACTCCATGTGAGGTGATGCATCCCAGTGATTTTGTATGAACCACAAAAGAACCTTTTTGCATACCTCCCTCCCTCTCTGCCAATCAAAGAAAGGTTTTTAAGGTCTTGCATTTTTATCCTCCAATGAAAAGTTTTGCACATATTTTAAGACTCAGAGGCATATCCTTTATGTTCAGAAGCAACATTCTTGTGTGCTGTGAAATGATACCTTTCTTCTCCCCAAAATACCCCTTCTTGTTTATTTGCAGAAATTTTTTCCTAAATGGTGGTCTAACACCTTTTATTGTCAGTATTCATGGTAGAGAATGAGAGGTACAATACTGGTCACATTAGGCCAAGACTCCTACTGCCGATTGTGAAACCAGTTGTCTTAGGCGTGGTATCTGATGACTGAGACTGATCAGGAAAATTTCCACTATTTCATCAGGCCTAACAGGTAGATTGTGTCTGCAAGTGAGTTGTGTGGCAAATTATAGCACAAAAAAGGTCCATGCCAGAATCCCCATGACGACGTTAAGTGCCAGCGATGGCTCAACTGGTAGGGTGTTGAAGAGAAGAGATTTGATGCAAACTTAGGTCAAGAAAAATAAGTATTCAGAAATCGCAAATTGGCATTTTTATAAAAAACAAAAGAAAAGGAGTCGGAACTATTAAAATAGGTTTAACTCCTACTACCCCTTTCAAGTTTTTTTTTTTTTTTTTGGTATTTTTTTTCTATCTATCTTACTAACCCATCTAGAAAACAGTTGACCAAATTATAGACTTCTAAATGTTCATCTGCTTTCTCAGTTTCAGTTGAAAACAGACTTTGTTTTGCCTATTGCAGAACTTCTAGGTTCTTTCTTATAGTCTTGGGGGTTCTTATTATAGATCGAAAATGTGAGTCGGCATAATTAAGCCATTCAGAGCCTTCAGAAGCAGTTCACTCTTGAAATGACTCTATCCGCCTACAGCCATGTAAGATTTAAGAACAAAAACACATCTTGATTTTCCTTTTCATGTTAACTCAAGGTGCTGCTGAGTGGGAGATTCAGAAATGACACCAGCTCCCCTGATTACTCAGCTGCTAAGGATGATTTTTTAAAATGTACCTTCTGTGGATGGCATGCTGTCCACCTCACAATTCCTCAGTAGGGGCTACCTTCCCTCTGGATATTGTTTTGGAACAAGACGCAAATTTGTTTTCAGAAAGGCATGAGAGATAGGAAACATTTATTGCAGATTTACTATGTGCCCGACACTGCTAAATATTTTACCTAGAAAATGATGTTTGTTGGCCGAATCATTAGTGTGGGGTTTTTTTTCAGTTCAGTAAACGAATTGTTGAAGCCCTTAGTAAGAACACCTAACTAAATAGGAAGAACAAGGCTGTGGTTGGACTAAACGTTTTGCTTTCGCTTTAATTTATTGAATTTTATAATTGAAGGAGTATTGAAGCCACTGGAAAAAGTAAGAGATTTTTAGATATAATTTGCCATGTAAAAATGGCAGAAAAGGATGATGGTGAAGTGTCTGTATTTCATCTTAGTAGGATGACATTTTTTGCTAACATGGGCCTACGGGGATGCTCTGAGTCACTCTTTTTCAGCCTGCCTGAAATTCCTTCCTGTGGCTGAGAGAGATATACGTCTTGCCTATCAGTTTTCCAACTCCCGTTGTCTATCTTCCTTTACCATTTAGGCTTTAAAAAACAAAAGTGACAATTTGAACTTCCTGCCTGCTGGGCCTCACTGAAAGATCGATATTGGCCTGATAAGGGGGTATTTATTTTGGTTTAGTGGCTGCAGAAATCCCTCTCCCTCAACAAGCTTTCCATCACTGCCCCCATCAGCATCTTCCCCGATAGTGTCTGGGCTGTGTTTATTCTGGGGCCGCTGGCTCACCCGGGAGTCACTGATAACAGCCAGCAGCAGATAACATTCTCCGAGGGGCTCTCAGGCGGGAACCGAATCCCTCCAGCCTGTCAGCCTAGAGAATGGATTTAAAGAGCTCAGGATCTGGAGTTCCACGAGCTCATTTCTAGACCTATCGGATGTCAAGCCTGGAGTTCCTTCTCAGTTAAGTCAAACAGGAACTTAAAAAAAAAAGAAAAAGAAAAAAAGATGATGAATGATACTTTGCGGAGGCCTCTGCCTGATCCTCACCAGCTCTCCTGCCTGTCGCGGCTGATGCCTTCGGTCTGTGGCAGGTGTTCACGTCCTCCAAGAACCTGAGCTCCAGCTCAGCCGCTTAGGTTTTACTTTTGCTTTCCAAGGCAGGCTGGACAGGGAATTTTTGGTTTCCCTGCTCCCGTGGGTGCTTTCCTGAAGGCGCCGTCTGTGCTGGGTGCTTGGAGGCAGGGCTGGCGAGGGCCTGGGGAGTCTGGCAATGTCCTCCTCGTGGCCACTGCTCCTAAATAGTATCCTGGCCGAGTCACAGTGTGCCTGCCGTCTCTGGGAATACATGCTTTCATCCCGGCTGCCCGTGTCCTTTGGTGCGCTAAGTAATTGGACTGGCCCGGGCAGTGCCCGTTGTGGTTTGGCAGAGAGAACCGTGTCCTGCCTCGTGAGTGATTCCAGGGGACGGCGTGGCCGGGAGCCCGGGCAGACCAGACAGAGCCGTGGCGGCGGCGTTCTTGTGTTGTCAGCAGGTCGAGGGGAAGGGGTGGCATCTGCGTTTCTGATCTGTCTCCTTTGGCATGGACCGTTCTGTGCAGGGTTTAACTGCACAGGTTGTTGTTGTTTTTTTAATCAAATTCATATTAAACGAGACCGAAGGTGAAAATTGATGACTGCCTGTTACTTGAAATGAGTCTTAATCTTCCACATCTCGCTTGCTGTGCTGACTTTCTCAGAACGGCGCTTATTAGTCTCTGACATCCCCCACCCCGGTATTTTTTCCACCCCGTTTTCATGGACGCGCTCCTGCGCTAGCCTGAGCAGCACTTTTCCATCACAGGGAGGCGGTGTTTTCTGTCAGTGGAAACAAAGTAACCTGAAGGATGCTCTTCGCTCCATCAGGCGATGCGGCCAGGGCCCCCTGTGCTGGGGAGGAAATGGAGCGGCACTTTGAGGGGGCCCCGCAGGACGGGAGGCGTTGAGAAACCAGGTGTCTCGCTCGTGGCCAGCTGGTGCTCAGCTCCTCTCGGGGAGAGCACCACCTGGGCAATTTCACTTCAGCTCTCTGTACCCCTCTGAGTAATCGTCCTTTCCTCTCCGTTTCAGCACAAGCGCAGAGCCTCCCGAGGCAGCAGAGCACCGAGAGGAACGACCTTTGCTCAAAGAACCCCCCGAAGAGAGAGCACAGCGTGAAAGAAATCCTGAAGTTGGACTCCCACCCCTCCAAGGGGAAGGACTCGTGCTGTTCGAACATTTCACCCCTGGCTCCGGAAAGGGACGCGGACGACTTCAGGAAGAACGGGAGCCCCGAAATGCCCTTCTACCCCCGGGTGGTGTACCCGATCCGGGCCCCTCTCCCGGAAGACTTTCTGAAAGCTTCCCTGGCCTACGGGATGGAGAGGCCCACGTACATCCCTCACTCCCCCATCCCGTCCTCCACGACGCCCAGCCCCTCCGCCAGGAGCAGCCCCGACCAAAGCCTCAAGAGCTCCAGCCCGCACAGCAGCCCGGGGAACACCGTGTCGCCGCTGGCCCCCGGGCCCCAAGACCACCGGGACTCCTACTCCTACTTGAACCCGCCCTACGGCCCCGAAGGTCTGGGCGCCTACCCTGGATACGCGCCCCCACACCACCTGCCGCCACCCTTCATCCCCTCCTACAACGCCCACTACCCCAAGTTCCTCCTGCCGCCCTACGGCATGAATTGTAACGGCCTGGGCGGCATCGGTGGCATCAGCAACTTCGGCCTCTTCCCCAGGCTGTACCCCGTCTACAGTAACCTCCTGGGCGGGGGCAGCCTGCCTCACCACCCCATGCTCAACCCGGCCACGCTGCCCAGCTCGCTGCCCTCGGAAGGAGCTCGGCGGCTGCTGCAGCCGGAGCACCCCAGAGAGGTGCTGGTCCCCACGCCCCGCAGTGCCTTCTCCCTCACCGGGGCCGCCAGCATGAAGGACAAGGTGTGCAGCCCCACCAGCGGGTCGCCCACGGCGGGCACGGCCGCCACGGCGGAGCACGTGGTGCAGCCCAAAGCTACCTCAGCAGCGATGGCGGCAGCCCCCAGCAGCGAGGAGGCCATGAATCTCATAAAAAACAAAAGGAACATGACTGGCTACAAGACACTCCCCTACCCCCTCAAGAAGCAGAATGGCAAGATCAAGTACGAATGCAACGTTTGCTCCAAGACTTTCGGCCAGCTCTCAAACCTGAAGGTAGGCCTCCCCATAGAGCAGTCCGCCTGTCTGCTAGCGTCTGTGCCTGTGTTGGGCATGTTTGTATGGAGTAGCTCGCTTTCCGCAGCTTATCAAGTTCATTTTCCATAGTGTGGGGCCCGGGTTGGAAATAGTTGATGCGGGTTTGATAGTTGATGTTCCTTTTGGCGCTTCTGGCTCCGTGTGGCTGTGGACAAGTGACTTTCCCTCTCCTGAGTTCCTTCTGATTAACGAAAACATGGGGTTAGGGCTAGAAGAGCAGCTGTGAAGGTCCCCGCTGGCCTGTGACTTGTGTTCCTTCAGCTCCAGCAAAGCAAAGCCTTCTGAAAACCTCGGGGCTGTCTTTTTTCTATGTAAGACTTGATCTCGATGCTTAAGATCTCTGCATCCCACTTGCCGGGTCCTCCGGGCCACTGAGAGCACAGCTAACCCATGTGGCTTCTTCCCAGGTCCACCTCCGAGTGCACAGTGGAGAACGGCCTTTCAAATGTCAGACTTGCAACAAAGGCTTCACGCAGCTGGCCCACCTGCAGAAACACTACCTGGTCCACACGGGAGAAAAGCCACACGAATGCCAGGTGGGCAGTCTTTGGGGAAGGGGTAGACCTCTGGACCTCCGTAGGGAATTATCTAAGGAGTTGCCCTCCCCAGGCCACACAGCCCTTAGGTTAGCCAACACAAGAAACCGGCCTTGGCGCGGGCCGGCAGCCCCTGTGCTGCAAGGTAGATGATGACACAGCCAGCTCCCCGTGGGTGGAAGATGGTAGGGGAAATAAACACCACCTCGTGTGCAGTGTGGCCACATCGCCCTGTTTGCTTAATGCCACCCCAGCGGTGGGTGCCACAGGGAGGCTTCTCGCCTCCCAGGCTCTTGGGCATCATCGGTCTGTGAGCTTGCCCCTCCCACTGGCAACTCTTAATCCTCTGGTCTCCCCCTCTCCCCGCACTGCAGGTTTGCCACAAGCGGTTCAGCAGCACCAGCAATCTCAAGACCCACCTGCGACTCCACTCCGGAGAGAAGCCTTACCAGTGCAAAGTGTGCCCCGCCAAGTTCACCCAGTTTGTGCACCTGAAACTCCACAAGCGCCTACACACCCGGGAGCGGCCCCACAAGTGCGCCCATTGCCACAAGAGCTACATCCACCTCTGCAGCCTCAAGGTCCACCTGAAGGGGAACTGCCCTCTGGCCCCGACCACGGGGCTGCCTCTGGAGGACCTGACTCGGATCAACGAGGAAATCGAGAAGTTTGACATCAGCGACAATGCCGACCAGCTCGAGGACATGGAGGACAACATCGATGTGACCTCCTCTGTGGTGGAGAAGGAAATCCTGGCCGTGGTCAGGAAAGAGAGGGAGGAAACCAGCCTGAAAGTGTCCTTGCAAAGAAACCTGGGGAATGGACTCCTCTCAGGGTGTAACCTCTATGAGTCATCAGACCTGTCCCTCATGAAGTTGCCTCCCAGCAACCCACTACCTCTGGGACCTGTCAAGGTCAAGCAAGAAACAGTCGAACCAGTGGATCCTTAAGATTTTCAGGAAACAAAAAAAGTGTCTTATTTTGTTTCTTCACTTACGACTTGGCGAGTCAGGGTGCCTGTAGCAGATTCCTTGTACATAGACCCAGGGCCTCAAAGCTCTCACCTGTCTGCAATTGAAGAAGGAGCTCCAAAGTTACTGAAATCTCAGGGCATAAATGAGCAAAGACAATATATTATACATATTATATATACTTATTTACACACATATATATATATTTGAACCTGTGTATTTTGAATATTGTGTGAATATGTTTGCATAGCCTTCCCATTGCTAAGACTATTGCCTAGCCATAATTATTTTTTCAATGACATTAATCCTTCATAATTTATTATTACAATCTACCATTTAAAAAGCAATAATTAAAAAACGTTTACAATGACTGGAAAAATTCCTTGTAATTTGAGTATAAATGTTATATATATATATATATATATATATATATATATATATATATATATATATATGTTTGTCTTGTGGCCATGCTTTGTAGACAATCTCTGCACATCTGTTGAAAGTACCTAAGGTTTAGTGATCAAATACATGACTTCAGTCAACCACCTTCTGTAATAATGGTTTGAATATGAGGTTTTGGTATTGCCAAAAGTGGACAGTTGATGTGTTAATCCATAGGATCATGTCATTTGAACAGCATTGTATAACTTGGGGGTATGTGTGCAGAATTACCCAATAATAGCTTCCCGGTAGAATAAACGAGAAAGTCTTGTTTGTTTCTGTAGATTGTAGTTGAGTTATTTCCCCCCTAGCCACGGAGTTACTAGAAAGGTGATAGATAACCTGTCTCCCTCTCCAAAAAGCAGGGTTGCCGCACCCCCAGAGTCATGCGACCATTCCGAGTGGCCCCGTGACTTTTGCATTCCCACCTTATTATCTGAAAATGTGAAGAAGACAAAAATGCCATGTTTAAAACCACTGCGAAACATTTCCAAAGCACAGATGGTTTTGTGTGTGTGTGAGGTGTAGGGGCTTGAGTCTGGGTGATGTTTTTGTTGTTGGGTTTTTGTATTGTGTTTTTTTTTTTTTTTTTTTTTTTTTTGTCATGTTAAAATTGCACAAATATGGTGCTCCACCAGGAAGGATTTGAGGTAGATGGGCTCAGGCCACATTTAAAAACAAAAACAAAAACGGGTATTCTCGTTGTCTTAGGGTCAAAGCGGGTAATGAGCGTTCCTATCCCCAACACATCAATTGTATTCTTTCTGTAAAACTTCTCTTTTCCCTCAGTATTTGTGTTTTTACATTTTATGGTTAATTTAATTGAAGATGAAAGGGCATTGCAAAGTTGTTCAACAACAATTACCTCATTGAGTGTGTCCAGTCGTGCAGGAAATGAGGGCTTATCTAATGGGTTGCTACTCCAGATGAAACTAAGTGTGCTAGAATAAGGCCATTCTATCTCTTACTCTCGCTTAGCCCAAAGATTACATGTTGGCATTCAAGGTGTAGCAAAGAATGATGTATATTTATAAATCTATTTATACCACTATACCGTGTATATATAATATATTTATAACCACTTAAATTGTGAGCCAAACCATGTAAAAGAACCTACTTCTCCTAAGGGCAAGAAAAGAAAAAACAAACAAACAAAAAAACCCTTTCTGAGACTTTCTTTAGCACTCAATGACCTCACAGTCATATTGGTGAGCATGGGTCCCCCCTCACTATTTGTAAAAGACCCTAAAACCTTGGTACAAAGGTGGGGGCCACATAACAACCAGGGGAAAGGAGAGAGATTGCTTTTTTTTTACTGTTAAGGACAATCTTAAGATGGCTTTATTTTTGTTTTGCCACATTATGATTATGTGGTCACATCCAACTCATGGGAATAAAAATTCCATTATTATTCCTTAACTATTGTAATTTTTTCCTCTCTTCCTCTCCCTCCTTCCTAAATAGCTGATGTGTATCACTAGTCGATGTGGCTTATATTATATATATATATATATATATATATATATATATATGCAGCATTCTGTTCATGGCACCTAATGCCAACCTACGGAAGAGAACAACAAATTTAGGATAATCCAGGGAAACCCAAGAGCCTTACTAATCTGTTCCCACAAGGACCAAAACTGGCAATGTATTGTGTATCAGTATTCGACAAATGCTGTCCTTAACTACAGGTAAACCAAAGCATCACGCTGACATTGACACCAAATGTTTTCTGTTCCCAACCGCTCCTTTGTCTTCTTTCCTGCTTCTGTGCTTGCTTGTATTTGGGGGTTTTTACCGAGACCTGCACAGTGGCTTGAGACTTCCTGCTTCTCTGTAGTGTCTGACTTTCCCTCCAAGGCATCTTACATGTGAATGTTGAGCCCACAATCAGCAGTGGTTCTATTTTTTTCCCCCCCTCAAAGTCAAAACTGTCCAAAGTTACTGGCTTTTTACTTTGCTAGGACAACAAACTATCTTATGTTTACTTACTGGTTTACATTGTTATTTATGTGCAAATTGTCAAAATGTAAATTAAATGTTCATGCTCTACCAATGCTTGTCTAGTGTCTTGAGTGAGGGCCCAGTGAGCGACATCTTACCCCTGCTACAGACGTGGCCCGAGAACAGATTCTGAACGTGACACAATTGGTCTCTCCCATCACTCACCCCCCCCACTACCCCTCCCCTCCCCGAAAGGATTCCCTCACCTCATATCTCCATCAGGGACAGCACATGGCAGTGATATGATGAGTTGATGTTATATCTCTCATAATTCAATGGTGTAAGCTTTTTCTTTAATTGTGAGCTATAACAGTGTCCTCTTAAAGTTTTCAAACAGTAGCCAGTAAATGGGGGAAGATTTGTTTGTTTTTATTGGATTTTTATTTGTTTTATTTTGTTGATGGGCATGGGGTGGAGGGGTAGGTAAGGAAGACTTGGATTAATTCTGGAACTGCCTTCCCAGCTGTGTGTGTGTGTGTGTGTGTGTGTGTGTGTGTGTGTCTTTGTGTGTGGACCCAGCCCGCTCATGGGTGGGGCCTCGGGAGGCTCCAGGAAGCTGAGTCAAGGAACACCTTGCCCATTGGTGACGTCACTTTCGCTTCAGTAGCTGGCACTGAGGGCGCCACAGAGAATAAGACCTTTTTGTGCTCTGCGTGGTCTTCCTGCCCTACATCCTATGGGTTTTTTCTTTTCTTTTTCTTCACAACTTGGGAAGTAGGTTTGCCACTTGTGTAATTCAATTCAAGAAAGCTTCTGTCTTACCAGAAGCAGGCATTAGTGTGAAACCCAGGGGTCATGGCAGTGTGACCATATGGCCCCAGGGGTCATATGCTGGTAAAGGGACCTATTTGTTTGTCTCATCGACTCTCCAGAAACTAACGTGTCTCCAGGCACACATAAACTGGAGTCTCATTTGATAGATGTGAATACGAGATGCTTCTAGAAAAGTGTTAGTGCCTTCCATGGAAAAAGATCTAAAAGCTCTCTGCAAATGGTTTTCGTGCTTGCTATGTCATCCATTGACAAGTTCATGGTCCTGTGCCCACCAACTGCATGTTCATAAAGTAACGCTCCTTCTTACATGTGGACACTCGAAACTGCCTGATTCTTTTTAATGTTTCTTCTTTATATCCACTTAAACATCTGTGCCAAGAACTTGAAATGCTGCCAACATGTAACTGTGGGGTTAAGAAAACCAGAACCCTGTTGTCATAAACGTGCCAAATGGTGCTGGTTGCACTACTAAATTCTGCAGAACCATTGTGGTAATAATTTTTCAAAACAAAGCCCAATAAGACCCAGAGTGTAGCAGTTACTGCCATAAATCATGGTTCTTTACTTGGCAGAGCGTGTCTTTTTTTCTGGAGAGTTATATATCTTGGGAACACTTGTGCACTTGGCTGTTGAATGAAACGTTACATGAAAAAGCTAACATTCACTGGGAGCACGAGTCTACCCTGCCGGCCTCCACACAGTTGGATCGAGGCCTCATGCAGCTGTTTGTGTGTGTGTGTGTGTGTGTGTGTGTGTGTGTGTGTGTTTGTACCCAGCCTGGGCAAGGACAAGACTGAGGAAATCATCATTTTCTGAGTGTTTCCTTAAAATAAAAACTGTTCAGAAATGATGCATTCAATTCTCCATCACAAGGGAATATATAGAATAAATGGATATATGGTGACACGGGAGTTTATGGGCACATTTCTAGATTACCACCCCCCTCCTTTGGGAGTTAGGAAACCAAGTTAGGACCCATTCATTTATCTAATTTTCCATGTGGTGTGTGTGTGTGTGTGTGTGTGTGCACGCAGACCTTTTTTTTTTTTTTTTAAAGGAGATAATGGGGAAAGGCCAGAGCAGAGAACTGAAAATAAGGTAAAACTAGGCCTTTAGGGTGATCTGGAATAGAAAGGAAGGTCGAACCACAGAGGATGTCAGCTACAAAAAGTTAATGGATAACAGAGAAGTTACATAGAATGTGACCACTGAGCCAATTGGGAAGACCCTTCCTTTTTCTTTAGGAGACCCTTCCTTTTTCTTTAGGAGACCCTAGAGTTGTTTGCCCATGACATGTCCATTATCAACTTCTGGCCATGACAAGTCTGATTATTCTGAACTCTGGCTACCTCTTCAGGGTCTGCTTATGGGGACATAGGAGCTACAAGAAATGTTTCAAGACCTGGGGCTAAGCCTTCCACCACATCCTTTTTCAAGCTTCAAGTCCTCCCAAACTCAAGTCCATTTGCTCAAAGTGCTGCTCCTTAAATTAGAAGTGATTTTAATCTCAATATAGCCTTACTCATGTAATTTAAGCCAAAAAAAATCTTAGCAAGATTTCAAAAAGATATTTTTAACCTGATTTATGCAAATACTCTCTCTGCCCAGTTTCACAGAATACTATAAACTAACAAACCTTCTCCTAGTTAACATTTTCTTCCAGGTTTAAAAGTAATGAACCCAAGTTGGCCAGGTACACGTTTCTTCCTCTGTGAATTTCAGAAGCTTTAATTTAATGTAAACGCGCATGCAGTCACCTTGTGGTTTTCTCCTACCCCAGCCAGAAAGGAAGAGGAAGTGATCAGTAAGTGCCAACGGGTGATTTTGGGAAGAAATTCTCCCCGTGTTAACGGGACGGGGTTGTTCCCATGGGATTGTGACTGAACTTCCCACCTTTGGGTATCTGGAGGTTTCACCTGCGGATGATGGTAAGCAGCTGTCCTGCATTGCTGGTGAGGGGGCAGAGCAAAGGAAAGGAAATGAAACCCTAGGACTTTGGTTTAAGTCGCAAACACTAGCACCTATTTTGGGGGCTTTTTCCTTTCTGGAATGAGGGAGTAGGGTCTTCTTTCTGGGAGGCCTTAGGGAGGAGCCAGGTTGTTTGGGAACACAGATGTATGAGATGCTCTGGCAAACCCTTGCTAGTTCTATAATTCAATGATTTCTAAAAGGTTGTGGTTTCCATTCCTGAACAGGGCACATACCCAGCTTGCATGCAGGCTTGATCTCCGGTTGGGGCTCTTGTGGACAGTAGTCGATGAATGTTTCTCTCTTACATCAATGTTTCTCTCTCTCTCTCTCTCTCTCTCTCTCTCTCTCTCTCTCTCTCTCTCTCTCCTCTCTCCCCCACCTTCATCTCTCTATAAATCAATAAGATAAAATAAAAATTATTCCACATTTGAGTTCTTCCCAAGGATCCCAAAAGGAGCCTGGTGCCACTCTCACCTGGCATCTGGCATTCTGCAAAGCAACCTCTGAGCGAGCAGCCTCTCAGTGCGGTTACTCCTGGGAAGAGAAGGGATGCTCCTTACCTCGCATTCTCCCATCAGCATGGCTCCCCTTGAGAGCTCTTTCCCATCCACACAGGCAAGGGAAACACTGGGCCCCTCCCATGGAACCCTTCTTTGCCTCCCCAGTTTTAGTACATGTAACTAATGGGGTGATTTCATTCCCTCCATGGTTCCCTGGGCCAGAGTCTAAAAATATCCCCAACCTGAGGTGGGAGCTGAGGTCATGAGCTCTCCCTGTGGTAGGAAGAGCAGGGAACCAGGGGTGCAGACACTTTGTTCTAGTCCTGGTTCAGAGCCTTGATCCCTGTGTGCTCTCAAGAAAGTCCTGGAACTTCCCTGGGCCTCTGTTTCTTGATCCACAAAATGAAGGAGTCATTCCTGTTTCCTAAGTTGTCTTCCTGCTCTTTCAGAAGTACTCCATCTCTCAGATGCTACGATCCCATTGTTTTCTCTTACTTCCTTTGGGTTTGTTCTTGGAACTCTGTTGCTATGGCAGATATTTGTAATTCAGACTGATGAAGCAGAGAGAGATGTCAGAGAAAATGGGAAGGAGGGGCAGGCTTGTATGGAGAGAAATATTGGGGCGTCTTTGGGCAAATGAGATTGAGCTTACGAAGGTCCTGCTAATTTTTGAGGACCAGGAACATCCCCCCAGGAACTAATATGCTCATCTGAGAGGAATTAAGATTTTTCTCATGGACAAAATGTGTTGTGTGGAAGTCAGACCTCTGCTAGGGTTCTGCATGAATTCTAGGCTGTATAGTGGGCCAGGGGGAGAGGGGTTCTTCATAGTTGTTAAGCAAAGGCACACTTATAGGAAAGATTTAAGTTTGTTGCCACAAAAAGAAAAGGGAGGCAAAATGACTGGTAGCTGAAGAAGAGAATGGGAACCCAGGGAGACATTGAAATGAAACGTTTTGGTTAGCAAAGCAATCAAGACTTTGAGAGTGTTTTAACGGTTCAAGGTTTTAAAAGGGGGGTAAAGAAAAAATGAAGCAGAGAGAGAGGGAGGAGGAGAGAGGAAAAGGTTAAACCAAGACAGAAACTGTGAGTAGATAGATGTGAAAGGGGCTGAAAATAAGTGAAAAGTGAAAAATTGCTTTATGAATAAACCGTTAAAAACGAGTGAGTGAAAAAGCCATCGTGCTTCCAGTTATTACTGAATCACAGGCTCGTGGAGGCCAGAGCTGACCCGAGCGGCGACTCCACGCTCAGCCTGCGCGCAGCAGCTGGTGCAGGGCCCTCCGTGGGCGGCCCCGTTTTCTACTTGAGTGTCAGTTTCATTGTGATTACCCTCCGGCGCAAACGGAATGTGGGCCGTTGTGCCGCCTCTCCCTGAGCACCAAAGCCACGGCTTGGTCATCTCTCCAACCCGCTGACACGAGCGAGGCAGGTGGACATGCAGGAAGGACCCAGAGGAACCAGGGGAAGGCAAGCAGCCCTTCCGAGGGAAGGAGAAGCCAGCGAGTTAGCAAAGCCTGAATCCTCGGCCTGTGTCTCTGCCTTTTTCTGAAATTGAGAATGTGATTTCATGCTCAGTGCTCCTTGTCCTCTGGGTGGTATGCTCCCCACAGGGATACAGGGAATTCTGTGCTCAGGCCCTACGAGGAAAACATCTGGGCGCAGGGCTAGCCAACCATAGCAGCCCTGCCTCCGCCCCACGCAGACTTGAGGAAGCACTGGGAGCACCGGGAAGTGAATCAGGTCCATCGTTGTGGCCTCGCCCTCCAGCCTCCAGCAAGAGCACTGAGGAGCGGAAGTGCTCGGGCTCCCACCAGAAGGCAGGTCAAGTGTCCCGAAGGAATGGAAGGAAGGCTCGTTCAAATGGCCCAGCTGTTTCCAAAGCCGCAGGGTAGCTCCCCATCCCATCCCAAGCAGGGAACCCACTCCTGTGTCGGAACTGCAGGCCCTCAGCTAACGTCTGACTGTCCGCTTCCACAGGAAGGCGGCGGCGAGTGGGTGGTTCCAGATCGCCAGGTCACCGTCCTGGGACAGCTTGGTCGATCAGCGCTCGCCCTCCCCGCGCCCACCCCTGTCTCCGGCAGACTCGGCGGGGGGCAGGTGGCCCACAGGGGAGCCTTTGACCCAAGTGACCCATGAAGCAGCTCGCCCCCGGGCATACAGCTGGCTGTACAATCAAAGAAAGAGGTTCCATTTTAATGAATCTGTTTCATTTTTAATAACCAGGGTACAACCGCTTGGTTTTGTACATCTGGCTAATGGGCTGAGATTTTCCTCAAAACAGATCCTGGCATCTGCTCTGGCTGTTGCTGCAAAGGGTCCCCCGGCCTGGTGCTGGTGGAAGGGTTAGGGCGATGTGCTCTCCTCCTTGAGTTGTTCTTTCCTGAAGGAGGTAGGTAGCCAGGCTTTGAGTATCTCCATCCTGGCAATGGGAATAGGAAAGCACGGGAGGTCAGGAGACAGGCCCAGATGCCCGAGCCACTCGCTGAGCTGCGGCTGGACCCGGGAGCCGAAGCCCAGCTCCCTGCCTTGCTTCCTACATGAGCAGGTTAGACAATGCTGCTGCTATTGCTGAGCTGGGCAGGGCCCATGCCAGGCGCTGATGTTTGTATTTCAGGCAGGCTTGCCAAAACAGCAGTGTCTCATAGCATTAAATTACTGTCTTTGCTGTCAGGAGCGCGACTCTTAACTAGCTCTGCAGACATTTTGAGAAAGCAAGGAGCAGACAGAGTCTTGGAGAACTGTGGCCACTAGAACCCTTTTACTGGGAGTCTGTCCCACTCAGAACTCCACACCCCTGTCAGGTCTCTGGAGCTGAGCTGCTTCCAGATGACCCTTTGCTGAAAAATGTTCATCGCCCTGGGGGTGGCCAGTCGCCCTCAAAGTGCCAGATCAACCATTCCTGTGCATTAACAAAAGCGTGGGTGTCAGACTTTAGTAGCTCTGTGTCAGCCGCAGGTCAGCAGCGTCCCAGAAAGGAAACTGAGGCACAGAGATAACCCTGCCCTGTCAGAGCATGCCTCGGAGACCTGGCAGCTGCCGCTGAAGGGCACGGCGATCCTCAGATAGAAGGCGTTGGGCAACGGCAAAAATTCAGATGCTCTTTTAGATAAAGTGGCTTTAGCTTCATTCCACTTTAAAGCATGGAGGGTCTGTGTTTCCTACAAAGGAGAGGACACGTGTAAATGGACATAGTTTCTGCTTCAAGTACACTTAAAAAAAAAAAAAAAAGCTTTGCTACTTCGGAGTTAAAGAAGGTATGTTCTCTGTTTTAAATATTGCCCATATATAGCTAACCAGTGTTCTGAGAGGCAGAGATGAAAGTTGAGAAAGAGCAGCCTGCTCTACCCTTTTGTTCCCAGGCAATGTCATCCCGAAAGGCACGATTCCTGTGGAGTTATCTGCAGGCCTTCAGCATGCCCACCTGCTCTACAGCTTTTGCAACCCACAGAAACACTGCAAGATTTATAGTCGGGCCGCTTCACATTGATAGTTTTTTGTCTTCTCCAGTTTTGACCTACACGTGGATTCCAGACTGAAACGTACATTATCTGAATCAAACCATTCAGCCCATCTCAGATAGGTTACAGCTGTTTCAATCTCCCCTCCAGCTTCATCGTAATTGCGTCATATATTATTGTTCATCTATAGATAGCCTGAAGAATTATATGCCCAAGAATTATATGCCTTTGGCTGAAAACAGACAAAAAAGAAAGCAACATTTTAAAACTAAGCTGTATTACTCTGAAGGGAGAGCAGTGCTTCAAATCCAGCTCCAAAACTTGTTCTACCTCAGGGAAGTGAGCAAAGGCTTGGACCACCCTCCATGGCACTTTTGGGCTTCTTCAAAAAAAGAGGCATATGTTTCTGCAAGACAAAAAAAGACAAAAGACTAAGGGTGCACAGACTTCCTTCCGCGTTGGGTTCTTCTCCCTTCTAAGGGCTGTTTGAAAGTTTTTCCTGTGCTTCTAGCTGAGCAGAAACCACATCATGTCTTTTGTCACCGTCTTTGCTCACCACTGGAGACCCTGGTGGTTAGAGAGGGAAAGTCCCTTTCAATGGTGCCTGTGGGGGTAGAAGGTGTTGGGGGCCCGGCAGGGGGGTGGTGGGAGAGGGGAGAGGAGAGATCGGTATGGTTTCCTCCCTGGCCTAGACAGGGCACCCACCCTGGCCAGACTCTCCCATCGTCAGAGCAGCAAAGCCTGTCCTTTGGTGCTCCTGATCGTTTCGGGGCGGTGGGGGACGAGATCATCAGACACAGGAAGGAACAGTTAGTTCAAGAGCTCTGTGTTTCTGGGAAGCCCGAGGAGTGGCCACAGTTACCTCTGTGTAGCCTGAGACCAGCGTATACCTGACTCCTTCGCACCTGTTCCCATGGGTCAGAAGGGCGCGGGGAGTGGGGGTGCAGCCACACGTTTGATTTGAGCTGCTTTTGGCAGTCTCTCAATTTCTGTTCTTTTATTTAACTCTGATTTGAACAAGAACAAACTCTACCATATCTTGACCATTTTTAAGCGTTAAGTGTTTGCTACTGTGTTCAGCAGCATGAACTCTGTGCACACCGTGTGCCCCAGATCTCTCGAATGTTTTCACCTTGCAGAGCTGAGCTCAGTGCCCACTGATGGACACTGAGCCTCCGTGTAGTGCCATTTCCTGATCGCGCCACTAACTCAGTACTTTTCCTGGGTTAAACCTATACCCTTGATTTCCACACTGAGACCCGTTTCCAGTTCACGCATTAGCCTACCTATTGGGGAGCAGATTCACTCTGCCATGAATATTCATCACTTGCTCTGATCCCGTTGACAAATGCCTGTCCTCAGCACTCCAGCTGGGCTCCAGCAGTTTATGGCGTTGTTATTTGCACCGCCGAACCAGTCAGGAATGAAAATAACAATCAACTGCTGGGATGTTTACAAGCCTGCTGGCCTATGGCACATGTAATTTAGAGCTGCCATCTTGTCTCCTCTCCCTCAGTGGGATGGAATGTCCTCTCCAGCAACCTGCTGACGGCAGGACTATGGGAGGAGAAGGCCCTTCACCTCCAATTTTCTAATGGAGCCTGGGTGGCAATCATGTCTGGTGGCTGGCTGTTTGGATTCGGTTGCTCCGCGACACTTCCTCCCACTGGTCACTCCAGCAGGCAGGTAAGTACTCTCAGCCACTGAGCGCAGGCAACTCGTCATTCCCTGAAAATAGAGCTGTCCCTCCAGTCCGTCCAGTTCCCGCCCCCAGCGCCTGGTGTGGGGACAGAGAGGAGCGGGGGGAGGCCCTCCTTGCTGGAAGCCACATTCCAGGGGGCGTGGCTCTTCTGCAAGTCACTGTGGAGGGTGGTGCCTCATGCCTGCAGCCACCCTCCAAGTGCTGTCTTACACAACAGTCATGAACTCTGGAATGTCCCTGGTCATTTACAGCCTGACTGGGTCACTCCATAAATGACGCTGGAGCGTCAAGGCCCAGAAGGAGGTGGCCTTGTTTTTCAAGAGATCATTTTCTCCCACCCAGAACAAAGCTTCCAGCACACACTTCTTACTCAGAGACTTCTAAGAGAACAGAAATTCAGTAGAAGGGAAATACAGGAATAGATTACAAAGCACAGGCCAATAGTGCAGATGCTTTAAAGCACACTGAACGATTTGGTCAGTCTCTTTGCTGATAAGCTTTCTAGAAATTAGGTGGGTACTTCTTAGAGTCACTTTCTGTCTTCTCTCACTCTTACCTTGACTTTTTCCTCCTTCGGTTCACTTCCTTCATGAGATTATTGAAGAGAGCGACAGATAAAGGTTCCAAAGAACATATGGTTCATGAGTCATGTCTATTTTTGCACGGCAGTATTCATTTTTAATGGCATTGTTCCAATAGAAGAAACAGAAAGTAAAAATCCACCTTAAATACTGATTTGGCTGCCTCTGTACTACAATAAAAATTATGAAAATAATGCCTCCCATGTGACTTATACTGTACTAGAGGCCCAGTGCATGAAATTCGTGCACAAGTAGGGTCCCTACACCTGGCCAGCAATCAGGTCCAATCGGGGCCTTCCAGCTGCTGACCTGGGCCTCCCTTCCCCAGCCTTCAGCTGCCAGCTGCGGCCTTCCTTCATTCCGTGCCACCCCCTGGTGGTCAGTACACGTCATAGCGAGCAATCGAATTTCAAGTCTCCCAGTGCAACTCCTGAGGGGCCACTTTGCATATTAGCCTTTTATATCCTATCTAATAAAATAGTAATGTGCAAATTGACCATACCGCCACTATACCCACAAGCCATGCCCACTAGCCAATCAGGAGCAAGTATGCAAATTAACCCAACCAAGATGGCTGCAGCCAGGGAGGGAGCAGGAGGCTTGGGTTTCCCCAGCAATGGAGGAAGCCAAGCTTCACACACACACCCTGGCCTGCCCAGGCCTCCACTCAAAACTACAAAGTTTCAATTATAGCAGATAAATAAATCCCAACAAAAATGATGTCAGCCACAGAGCTGGAGAGATCAGGAGGTTTGAGTTTCCCCTGGCGATGGAGGAAGCTAAACTTCCTGGCTGACCCAGACCTCCACTCAAGGCTACAAAGTTTCAATTATAGAAGATAAATAAATCCCAACAAAAATGGCTGCAGCCTCAGAGTGAGCAGGAGGCTTGGCTCTGCTCAAGGCAACAAAGTTTCAATCATAGAGGATAAATAAATCCCAAATACCAGGACCTCCACTGGGGTCGCCAGGGGGCGTGGCCAGCCTGCAAACCACCACAGGCCCCTCACCCAGGCTGCCCCACACCCCAAGGGAACCCACACCCTGATCTGGGACCTTCCCAACACATGTCTGATAACTTCTCTCTAAAGTTAGGGTAGGAGCCTTAGTCCACAAACTACAAGAGATAAAATTTTAACTACACTCTATAACCTCCACTTTGTCATGTATTAGATGTAAAATTAGAGTTGATTGAAGACTCACTAACTTTAATTCACCTAGCCTTAAGTTATTTTGACCCATTTCCCTGGGGGCGGGAAACGCTTAGGAAATCCCCTCTACTGTTCCTCTTACTTTTAATTCCTTTCATCAGATAGTTTGAGCCAACACATGAGTCCTGAGATTTGTGGGGAGGGTTTGTCTCTAATTGTGGGGTTTTCATCCTAATAATGAAAGATAAAACCAGCATTTTTACTTATGTATTCACTTATTTGTTCATTCAACAAACCTGTATTGGCTGCCAATTATACTTCAAACATTGGGCCAGGCTGTCAGTGAGGATAAGACCAAGACACTGATCTCAAAGAGTTACTTGCCTATGGAGGGAGAGAGAGCTATGTACAATTTGATTTATGGTATTGGCCTCCTTTAAGTGAATTAGTTCTATTATTATCTGCTAAGAGGGATCAAGCTTTCCTTTTGTAGCATTTAACTTTACAGGTATTTTTGGTTTCTTCTGCATGTAATTCACACCTGTGAATTAAATAATCAAAAGGATTATTTAATCAAGAGCAGTGTACATTCTGACTATATTTGGATCTAGATGTCCAAGAGAGAATTTCATGTTCACCTATTACCAGTACATTTGTTTTATTGACTAGCACAGAATATCAAGAAAAGTCTAGCTATGTCTGCAAGGAAAAATACTTAATTTTTGTTGTAAATTTTGATAATTTAGTGTAGGCAGCTGGTTCTTTGAAATGGAACTACAGTATCATTTCTATCTAGATCTTCAGAAGCTCTTCAGAAATGTGAACAAAAAGAACTCTGAGGTTTTTTTTTAATTATTATTATATAAAACACTCTATGCTAAGATATCCTAGGTTTTACCTTTAACCCTCCAAGCATCTCATAAGGGTTCATCACATCATGTCAGATTATCATTTTATTTCAAAAGACTGCACTCCCAGAACAATAGGAACGATGGGGGTGATGTCATGAAATGGAGAGAGCACTCTACTGGGGGGTGGTTGGGGGAACAGGCCATCAAAAGTCCTGGGCTTATTCCTGGTCCAGCCAGCTGAGTGACTTTAGCAAGAGGTGTAACCTCCCTGGGTCTGTTCCCACACCTGTAAAATGCAGCACTTAAACCAGATGACCTCTACGTCCATTTCTACAAATCCATGAATGTAGAAGCTTGTTGCTCCTTTTAATAAGGCTGCATTAACATTCAAAGGTCTTGCTGAAGCCTAGGCTGGTGGCGCTCCCTTCTAGCCACTTTGCCCAGCACATGTTTTGGTCAGGGCAGCAAAGGAAAACAGGGCAGCCTTGCCCTGTAGCTCTTGGCTCAGAGCTTTGGGAGGTATTGATGACTCAGCATGTGGCTCTCTTCCCCTGAGGACCAGCGCTGCAGGTGCTCAGGTGAGCCTTGTTATGAGGGAGCTGCCAGCACTTTGGGGCGAGGCAGGAACTTGAAATGTGGACCATTTAAAACCACTCAGATTCCAAGACACTTTACTCAAGCTTAGGAGTGTCAACTGCTGTCCTTTCATCAACTGCCACTTTGATTAATTGTGCTCCTCAAATTATCCTTGCATTTCAGTGTTGCATGGCATCCACACTTCCTATTCCATGGTGTTGTGTGTAGTTTGCTTGTTGCCTTCCAACTAAGGTGTTTATTGGTTGAGGGGGTAGGGGTCAGAGTGAATGTGGATATTCTTCCTAGACCAAATGGGCCTGCTCTTTCAGGTCATTAAAGAGAAAGAGCAAAGAAAACAAGCCATCCAACACTTTTCCCAATTTGAGGGCAAGTGAAACTAACTACCTCAAAAACATTGGTGTCAATACTAGAGTCACTCTAGGTAGGTAGGGGTCTTGAAAATCCTGAAAAACGTTCATAAAGATTAATACAAGACTTACTTGTATGAAAAACTCTTTTGTTTTTAGGGGGTGATAAGTTGTGAAACTATTGTACAAAGCTGTATAATCTTTAAGCTATGAGATGTCGACATAATTGTTTTGAGATCAACCAATCAGACCACATTTTGTACTACCAAGTTATAATGAGTGTTCATTAAGCATCATGATAACAACGCCCTCCTTGTTTGCTAACAAAGGGGCATTCTCTTCATGTATCACTGGTGACAGCTGATGTGGCACAATTATAGCCATCCACTCATTCCCTCTCTTTTCCTGATTTACTCCAAAGCTGTCAGATAGTCATAGAACATTTTTTCTCTCCTCTTTATTTTCTTCTTCTCTTCTTTCTCTTTATTATCTTCCTCTGGGCTGAACAAGATTTCCTCATTGAGAAAATGTCTCCTTATTGACCAGCCAGGCACTTTGGGTGATGCTTAACTTTTCCAGGTCACTGGGACACCGTTTGGTGAACTGGAGTCAACATTGACCAAGTGGAATTCCAATAGTTGGAGACATCTGCCTGCCTCCCAAGATGACCAATATTTTCAGAGGAGTTGTTTACTTGCTTTCCAGAGCTAGCCAATGGCGTTATCTCCCTGAAGTGTGCCTGTAAACTTGGGAAACTATTCTACTTTTGGAACATATTCTAAATATCTGCCTTCATTGTCACTTATTTTATTTTATCTCTGTTTCCGATGACTGACTGATTCTCTGTGATTTTAGGCAAGTCATTTAACCTTTGAATTAGCATTTACTTTTTTTTTTTTTTTTAAGGATCATGGGCACAATTGAGGATCTTTAATTCATCCATCCAATATTTATGAAACCCAAATGATGCTGCATTTTGTGTTGCTAGAGTCACAGAACAGCATCATATCTGCTGTTCTCTAGACATTTACAACCTAATTGGAAAGATAGACATTTATCTGAAAACTAAGAGCACATGATAATACAGGATGATGCCAAAAAGACAATGTTATCTGTACAAGGATATTCACTGCAGCATTGTTTGTTATAATATCATGTTGGAAACCATCTAAATGTCTATAAATAAAAGACTGGATAAACACATTATGATGATTTATACAATGGAAATACTATGCAGCTATTTAAAAAGAATGGGGTGGCTATACATGTCTTAAAATGGAAGAATTCCAAAATATAGCTGTAAGAGAAAAAAGCAAGTGTGGGTAATAGTGTCCACTGTGCTACTGTTCGTGAAAAGAAAAAAGTAGATGTATACAAAGTCTTACATATATAGTGAATTCTTTGAACAGACACACAAGAACCTAGAAAAGGTGAATGTCTGTAGGGAAGAGATGGACAGCTAAATAATGGGGGAGAAGGAAGACTTACTTTACCTTTAACATTCTCTAGACTCTTCGAAATTTTGCACCAGGTACATATATTACAAATGTTTATATAAAAAGTAATATTTAAAACGTGGTCTAATCCTCTGGTTAGCTCTCCACAGTTAGTGCTGGTAAACATTAAATGAGAGAAAAGCAGAATTTTTTCATAGAGGTCTGACACATGGAATGAATGCTCTGCAATAGGTTTTGAAATAGAACTTCCACTGGAAATTCTACTGTTTTGTACTTTTCAGGACAGTTCCAATCTGATGCTTCTGACACATGGAGCATATAACCTCATTGGGCTTGAGGTTTTAGGTCACTGTTTCAACATGATTATTCGAAAGGATGTGGGACAGCGTTGAGGGAGGGAATTTGGGGAACACAGGAAAGCAAATCAGAAGTGCTGTGAATAGAAGATTCTCCTCCCTTCCCTGAGATCCCTTGCTGACTCTGTCATGCTCATGGGTGGCCTCTGTCATGTGGACGTGTGTTTCCTGTCATAAGGTGGGTCATGTTTTTCTTGGTTCCAAGTTCTTCCTGGTACATTCCCAGAGGGTATGGCAGTTTATCAGATCTCTGTTACCATGGATGATAGCACTTCGCAGACCAGTAGAATCATAGACGTAGGAAGGTCTCTAGAAATTATCCTCGGTAAACTCACCTTGCAGTCAGGCCATG